TCTCTCTCTCTCTCTCTCTCTCTAGATCTAAAAATATAATCCAATCAGGGCAAAGAAAATTGTTAACAGTTGCAAAATAAACGAGAAATAAAAAAATTAATAAAAATATTTACACAAAATAAATAATAAAATAAAACTTTTATAATCTAATATTTGCATCTTTAAAACTTACATCTTAAACGCGGATTTGCTTTTTTAATCCTTTTGAGAATGGCGGTGTTAAGTAGAACACAACAGTTTTACAATCATTTTATGACTGTCTATCTGCTATGATATCATTCCTTTTTCTCTAGATCTAAAAGTAATATAATCCAATCAAAGAAAACTTAATTTTAACAGTTGCAAAATAAACGTTCTGCTGAACGCAGCCAATAACTTCACATTTTTCATCTCTTTCAAATATTTCTTTTCTTATAGAATATATTTCAAGCTATATTTAAATTATTACATTTTATTTTATATTTGTCTTGTATTAGTTACAGAATACACGAATCCATTTTATTTGCAAATGTATATTGTAATACAATGATCTCGTAAGATAGATAGGAGTTTGACTAATTGGCAAATTATGTCGTTGCTGGGAATAGAGTCTTAAGTTTTCCTCACAAAGCTTCCAAATCTTCAATGCCAATATGCAGCATGACATCCGCTCTCGCAGAAGCCGGATGGAATTTCACGCGGTTAACGAAGAGCATACACGATGCACGACACTTCCGTAGACGTCGCGTGTCTCGTTGCAGCTAGTGATGCACTGTACGCTCTAAGCTCTCTTGTCGTTACATTAATCACTTTACTTACACCACCAGGTGGCGAATGGAACAATATATGAAGATACACAGCAAAATGGGCTTGTTCTCTCAATGCTCTTGCCCGTTCTCTATTCCAGAGAACGATTCGCTCACAGAACTTGCTGCATCCGGCGCGTCCATTGTACACGCGTCGTATTGTCGCAAATGTCGTCGGAGTTAGCGTGTAGTAAATGCACATATCATTGTGGATTCGTAACATTCTAGATTGGCACATGCTGATTTCTTAAGCCGTAATCTTCTATTATGCCAAAAATATAGTCACGTTGCAATACTTTCTAGTAGAAGATGGATAAAGAATTTAGAGTGTCGCGGGATATTATTAATTTGTGTGTTTTTTGTGTGTTTATAAAGTCGTAAGAAATTATAGAACAATATTTATCAATTTGTATTCATTTCATTCTTTCCAAAAGTAATACTAGTTAAATATTACTTTCTATGATATTAATTTTTTAAGTCATTTATCTTAAGTAGCACACTATCAATTTTTATCGTGCCGCTAATAACGGTAGATAAGATGCAATTTTTATGATGAACAATAAATGACATTTTCGCGAGAGAATACAATCACATCATTAATATCAATCATGTTATAATACCAATAATAGTTAATGTTTGTATACTGTCAGGGTAGAAGATATTTTAAAAGGATAAAGTTCAATTCTACGTCTACAATATGTTGACATATTTCCTATGAAATAAACAATAGAACTTCCATGAGTAGTAGTTTTATTTAGAATGATTAACACAATATCTGTCAGACTAGAAGATTACTAGACATCCTAAACTAGACGTGGTAAGATTTGCTCACATCATCTCGTATTTCTAATTATATAATAATTGAATAACTACAGAAATTATAATAATATTTTTACAAAACGTTTACGTATTTTCGTAATTTTATTATTTGATATGAAAATATAATCATTTCTTCCCCTCAACTTACCTGTGATGCTTTCGAAGCTTTTCATGATGAGAGTTCTCGATGTCGACGCCATCGGAAAGGGCGCGAATTGCTTGCCTCGGGGATGCTGGAGGTGTATGCGGCGAATGCGCCGTTAAATTCGTTTGTGGACTCAATGGTGCACCTGGGTTGCCGGGCTGTATTCCCAGCATACAGTAAGGATCGCTAAATCCTAAAGAACATGAGAATATACTCTTTAAAGTAAAAAGAGTATTGTGTATAGTCTGTATGTGATTTTTATTTTATCTATTATATTCCGATAATTTCTGATATTTTAGTCAGAAAATTTCTTGCAAGTGTATGGTAGAAATCTTTTTGCAGTAACAGTATCGAGCAAGAACAACATTTACTGCAACTAAAATTTTTTCAAGATTAAATATTTTCATATAACTAAGTTTTAACTAAGTGAAAATTTTGTTAAAGTTTTAATTTGCTCTTTAAGTTATTTATTGAATATGATTTTGTCATTTATTTGTAATCGGGAAGCTTAGTTTTATGGGATAGTTAGTACTTTTACTCGTTTGTAATTCAAAAGGTAATCGCAGCTCGGAATGAAATCGACAATGAATTGACTTACCATTGACGTCCTTTGCTTCAAGTCCATCAGCTTCGATCACCACCACGCTTAGCACAACAATAGGTGGCTGCAATAGTAAATAAGTTTTATTTTATTTAGTTTTTATTGCAATACAAAATAACGGTACTTTGATGACATATTTTGAACAGAAGAGAGAAAAGCTGAGATATCGTATTTGAGAAGAAAGTTAATAAACGGATATACCTTTTCTTCTGAGGCAATATTGAGATATCGTCGGTGCTGATCCTGTGGGACTCCGAAAGCTTCTTGGGCATATCGATAAAGATCTTCCTTGTAATGCGCGTATTGTCCTGTACTGGCGCCTACAGTGTTTGCAATTGTGTAAAGAACCTCTATGTACAATTGCTCCATCTAGAAAGTAATATTCAATTTTTTAATAATGTTCAGCATATAATAAGTTGTTTACGCATAATTGATATTTTTAGAAAAAGTATATTTAAATATTATATATTTAAAAAGTGTTTTTCAATCATTTTGCACAGAATACAAAATAAATATTATTAAAATAACCATGTTATATATATTTTATTTAAAAAATTGTTTTATTAAATACCTAACATTTATTATAATAAAGATTACAATCATATTATTACTACAGCAAAAGTTATTTTATTGCACAATTATAATCATTAAAAGCAATTTATTTTACGAAACTGTAACTCAAATAGTAATGTTAAATAATATTAACAATAATGCTATAAATTCTTCTCTTAAAATATATGGGAAATTCTATTGCAAGATGATTAAGTTAAAGATTTCCTTTGTCTAGTTAAACAATCGTGTTTCTCTGTTTCTTTTTGTAAGAATTTAAAGCAATACGATATTCATTATACGAAGAAAAGTACAAACTCGTTTTATAGAAGATAGAATATAAATTCAAGAGGTGTCGAGCTTAGCCGATATTATGTCATTTAATTCGAAAACGGAAAAACACATATATTATTAATTATTATTTCATTAAAATAATAAAAAATTATCGAGTTTAAGAAAATATTAATAAATGAATTTGTAGAAAAATTTGAAAATGTGTTCGTTAGTAAACATCATACTATTATATATAATCATTTCATATTTTTATTTTATATTAATATTATTGTATGAATTTATATTTAGAGAGAGAAGCAAAAGATAATTATAAATAATTCTGTAATGTTATTATAGCAGACTCTCCATTCCATGTCACTTTTCGATATTACAAAAAATATTCTTCTCTCTTTCTTATTAACAAAGCGATGACATCGGCTTTTTGCCAATTAATCTCTTACGAAACATCTATAACAACCTTTACGCTACGAAGATGATGGGGACAATGAATAAAGATTAAAAAGAGTCGGGAGCGGCAGGAATATTGTACCTAAGGAAATTGGAAGAGAAAAGTACGTTAAAATAATGAGCAGAGTTTGACATGAGAGTTTCGGTGAAAACTCGCGAACTTTCGTGAAAAAGCTATTTACTTAAAAGTGTTTTTCCGCTTGGGTATTTATTTTACGAGAGTCAAGAGTTTGCAAGACGACAGTGCGAAAAATTGTGCGATTGTCTAGGGACCCACAACGAGAAAATTACACATATTTTACCGAAAGAGATAGGAAATACATAAGTTTATGATGGTTATATCCGTATCTATTTATCACAAATCCGGAGACATATAAATGGAACTCTATAAATTCACAGGATCCGTACATTTATAAATATTATATAAACAATATTTAGAATTTATGTGTATTTTTTTGGAGCACGGCAAATATACGTGTTCGTATAATTTTTAAACAACATATTTGTCAACATTGAAAAAATTTCATATTAACATTACATTTAATATTACATTTCTACATATAAATATAAATTAATAATTATATTTCCCTCTGCAAATATATACGATTATATAATGTTGTTGCTAACGTATTTTCTATCAATTTTATTGAATAGATAGTTAGGCGATTTAGTAAGTAATAATGAAGAAATTACAGAGCGAATTGAATTTAAAAGCTTCGAGATTTGAAATCAGAACATCGACTTGGAAATACGGATTTCGTGCGCGCATTATAGTTGGTGACGTCGAAACGACGTACTCTCATTATGAGTTTTCTACCTGTTAGTTCGATCAGCGAACGAGGCCGTCTGACCCAAACGACTCAACTGACTTTATCTACTTAGAATAATACTTCAAACGGAATGGACGTAACTACTCGTCCGCATGCAAAGCCCGTTGCAATCAGAATGACGTGTGTTAAATGTAACAACGTTAGGTCGCATGCGATATAGTCGTAGTGCGAAAATGTGGAAAATTTGCCGCACTTGTACTAACAACTGTAAAAACTTTGCCAGAGTTTATAAAATAACAAAAATTAGGACATAAAAAATCACTTGGTTCTTTGAAATTGGCACGAGAAAGTAAAATAAAATTTTTACAATGAAATAAATAAAAATTATATATGTGTTATATAGAAAATAAATGAAATTGCAAAATACCTCTTTTTTGCTAAGCCGATATGGTTGCGAAGTCAAATTCGAATCTCTGGACGGCGGTGGCGGTTCCTTCGCTCTTGCTTCCACTTCCTGAAGGACAACGAGTCTCCGATTCTCCTGTTTCCAGGATAATGCGGTAAAACTTTCAAAAAAAGATCCATCTGTTTCTTGAACACTGTAATCAACAGACAATTAAGTATTAATAATTTATATTTTTGTATTGTGTTGTGATATAAAAAATAGATTAATTTTGTTCATAACAAATAGAGAAATTGTATAGTAAATATACTTAATTACATAACAAATATAATATTATGTAGTAAAAGTTCATATTATAATTAATAACATATTTTAAAATTATTAGCTATCTTTAATATCTGTCATGAAATACATTTATATTTAAACAAACATTTCAATGATAGACAAATCCAAATATGCACGTTATATTAATAATAACAAATATAGTAAAATATTAGTAAATAAAGCAAACACATGCCTGTGCATGTGTTTGCTTTATTTACTAATATTTTACTATATTTGCCGTACTTTTCAAAAACATGAGAACTTTTCTCTACAATAAGCAGATTCAGATTTAATTTTAGTCTTGATTTGTTATTTTATACATTTATATAAAAAATATTTTTAAATAGAACAGCTAACATTTATAAATGATTATGACTGAACAATTGATTTACATTGCTTTTGTATCATTACATATGCATTTATGGCAGCTAAATGCATGTATGTTTTGTCCTTATATTCTAATGCAAGCAAGTTTCGCAATATATCAATGCACATTGCGCGATTTGCATTTGTTAATAAAGTCGTATTTCCGTATTTCATGTAGTAGCTTATTAATTCAGCGATTTTTTCACGTCGCGTGTACACCCAGTTTCGCAATCTCGCGAAACTATCGATCGCTATCGATGCTTTCTCTCCCTCTTTCTGCTTCTTTTCTTCTCTCTTCCCTTTCTCTCCCTCTCTCTTTCTCCTCCTCTTCCCTTTCTCTCTCTCTTTCTTTCTCTTTCTTTCTTTGCGTTAGAATTTTAACGTGTGCGTGTCAAATGCAAAATAATAAGCAAGCTAGTAAATTTTTTGAATACTAAAGTTTCGTTTCGACATCTCATTTTTATAATTATTTATCCAACAATTATATTTGATCATCTGATATTCGCAAATAATATTTGTACTTTTTCTAATAATACTTTGTCTACTTTATGATTTCCCATATATGCATATATAATTATATATAAAGAATGCCCCAAAATTCGCGATTCAAAGTACTATAGCAAAAAAGGTCTCAAAAAATTAAATAAAAAAATCATTCTATTTTAAGAAATTTTTTATTTTAAGTAATAGTTTCTGAAATATAACGATTTACACATGGCCAATTACGTTTAGATAGCACTTAGTGAGTGCGCTATAAGAAAAATCATAACTTATATATATATATATATATATATGTGTGTGTGTGGGTGTGTGTGTATATATATATATATGATAAATGTTTCAATTCAATATAAGATTGCAATGACAAAAATGAACAGAATCGAAGCTTATATAGAGTATATCTTATACACAGATTTATTTATATCAAATATCTATAATTTCTTAAACAAACATGTATATTATATATCCATTAGCGATAATTTTTGTAAGTATTGATACATCGAAAATTCTAATGTCAAGGTTCATATAGAAAAATATTGTAATAACTTTTAATTTTAACTATCAGTCACTCTCACTTTTGCTAAGAAATAGCTTTTTTTTGTATGCGATTGTTGTTAATGCGATTATTGGAATAAGGATGGCAGTCATGAAAGCACAACACTAATCTAAGAGAGGTCGTTAAGCAACATGATGGCGCAAACCTATAATTGTTCCAAGATGATAGGAATCTTGGTTGCCTTGATAAGCATCATAGGAACATTCTGTGCATGATCGCTCGAATTAAACTCGAAGCATACGAAGTTTTACTGTTGACTTCCTCGTATTCTATCTTGCAAAACGTGTAGAACAGAAATCCACAAATGAGCTCTTTGCACAAATTTCTTACTTGATACAAATTTATATAACACTATCGCTAGAAACATTCAGCTTATAGAATAAAATCGTTTAAATTTTAGAAAATTCATTAGAATTTTTTAGTTTGACAATTTTTATATTTTTCCTCTTAAATTTTTCTTTACTTATATCAATAAAAAAATTTTACAGATTTTACTCAATCTTAAAATTAAAAGAAATTCAAATTATCGTAAAGAAAAAAATATCGAATAAAAAATATATTTGTAAAATATATATCTTTATTGCCATCTGTAAAATAGCATGTAAGAAAATCAGCAATAAAAAACGCTTTGTGCATAAAGTAAGCTTGGAACTGTGCATCATTTACATAATGTATAGCATTGATGGTCTCTTTTATGGCTTGCATAATTCGTAAATCAATGTATTAATAATTCAAGCAATTGTTTTATTAATGTCTTTGTAATAAAAAAGAAACGACATTATGGATGTTCTTCTGTTAATTTAGTTTTTAATTAAGTAAATGATTCTGTGATGCATTTAGATGACTTGTTTTTACGTTGCAGCTTAATTAGTAAAAAAAGTGTGCAATTTTATTTCCATTTCTGTAATTATTACGACGAGAAGTGAGAAAGGATTACGTAACTCTCACATGCGAGTAAAACGAAGTAATTCGATTATTCAGTTCTACGGCAAATGTTGCTCTCAGAAGTCACACGTGCGTATGATTTCAATCGATAAACAACACACATCAATGAACATCTATTCGATTCCCACTAATTAGAAACATCCACGTGTAATTTCTTTGAAATAATTTCTTTATATTTATGCAATATTACAAATTTTTTCTTGTAATAACAATTTTATCTACCTTAAAATATGATATTCAAAGGAGTTTCGAGTCTGTATTTTTTAAAAATTAAATTTGCAACCTATTTGTAATTGATTTTTCTATAACAATTATCAAATAAACAATTATAACTTTTATAAATAATTTTTAAAATAAAATAAAATAATTTACATATATAGCACTAAACTAAATTTATAAATATTAAAAATATATAACATTAATTATTAAAAATATATAAAGTCTAGTCGATATCAAGTTCATGTTTTCTTTTTTCAATATTTTCGATAAGTCTAATTGACATCTTAATATGGTGACAACTATCAATCTCTCAATTGAATTAATATGTATATTTAATATTATAATATAATTAATCATTTCTCCAATTTCGATCAATATGGATCGCTATGTGACTAATATTCTATCTGTTCTATAGAATACAAACTTGTGTTATTTGCATTTTTTATAAAAATTTCTTTTTTTTGTAGAATTTCTTTCACTGCTAGAAATATAGGGTCATAATAAAGTAGCGAGTGCGGTAGCTAAATCAGAGGTGCAAAGGCATGTCACTGGAAAGAAACAGTGAAGACAATAATGCTGTCAACGTGGTTTTTTACAAGGGACCAGGCAAGCGGACGTGAAAAGAGTTGTTCGAGGAGAAAAAAATGCTACGGAGGAACACAACCAGCAATGGACATCCTCGTAATGGAAACCGAAAGCGCGCCGACGACATTCTTCTCATCATTCTACGTCGAGAGTATGTTCGCCACGCTATGAATTGTAATTTGATCATCGTCGACTTTCATCACATCTTCAGTCAACTTTCAAAAAGCCCATTTTATAAATTACAATACTTTAATTAAGAAAAAAAAACACAAGCAATTTTCCTAATTTCCTATTATCACATTGTTCTGAATCTTTATTTATATAAATATTAAATTTATATATATTTCTTTTTTTATTTCTAGAAAGATTTATTTTTAGAAAATTAATCTATGATCTATATTATTTATAATTAATATTATTGTCATTATTATCTGTATAATTGCCGATTTTTACTTCTTTAGTTTCTTTACGTAAAACAATTATTAGAATTGTCAGAACATTTTATTTAATGGCTAAATAAAAAAACTTGTTAAATCTTCTTTTTTCTTTATCATCAAAATAAATACATTACAATAGAAATCGTATGATAATTAGACTTATAACATATCTTATAATATTTTCAAGATTGTATGAATTAATTATGAATTCGTTCTTAATTATTATTTTATAACTTCTCTTTTTGTTTATTGTAAAATTATGTTAGTTTTTTGTTCTTTTTTTAAGATTAATTATGCAAAGTTAAGAAATTGAAGCGATAAGATTCTTAACAGTATACTAAATACTATATTTAAAATAAAATATATTGCACGAATATTTCTGTATATCCTCAGTGCTATAATTTACTGGTCCTGGAAGGAAATAAAGTACTCAGGAAATGAAATAAATAACTTAGGCATCGGTTAATTATACACTGTGTTAACTAATCTTATAAATAGCTTACAATTTATTAAAGCTATAAAATATAAGAAATTTTTTCAAAAATACAAGTTCCTGACAATGAGTTGATATATTTACTCAGTCAGTTAAAACAAATTCAATACAATATAAGAAGTTAATAATTATTTATATACTCAATACAAACAAATTAGATACTTACTTTTTAGCAAGCGTTAAATTGTTAAATATCAATTGTACAAAGCAAATTTTTAAATTTATATAAATGGATTTAGATTTAATGTCTCGCGCTTAAAATAAATATTTTATAACTTAATTTTATAACTTTTGTAGCTCAATTTGCATGGTTCATATAATATTCATATAATATTTAGTTATAATACAAAAAAGTATATTGAAAAAGTAGATTTATTTACGT